GACTAATTAGGACCAGTAAGTCTGAACACGTAGCACCAATTCTGGCACACTTATATTGGCTGCCTGCATGATTCTGAGCCTGATTCAAATTCCAGTCTTAACCTGTAAAGCCTTACCACAGTCTGGGACCACATACTCCATTGAATAGGTCTTAAAGGTGCAGTCTACCACCTTCTGCTTAGTTCAATACCTTCGGCCTTTCTCTAAATGCCACCTCTAAGGGAGGCCTGATCAATAGCAAAAAGGAAGCCACTCTGGTAGTCACCAGAGCATGGCATGATCTCCCCACTGTGGCCTGCCTAGTAGTAGCTTAAGACTGCCCTCTGTGCAGGGCATTTTGCAAAGTCCAAACAGCACATGTGGTTGGTATTTATTTATTTAGAAATATAAAATGTATAAATAAATATAAATTAAATATGGTTAGTTGTTTTTAGCAGGCCTAGTAGTATGGACTAGTCTTAGTTGCTTGTTATTATACTTTGGTATAATATCTTGAATGAAATGTCATTTTAACTTTTATTTTATATTGCTTTTTTTAAAAAAAATAGCTGTTATACACTGCCTAGGCTACTTTGTCTATTGGTCAGTGCAGAAGCAAAATTAGCAACAACAATAACAACAGTAAAGGAGAAGAACATTTCAGAAGAAGGATTTGATGTAAGAGTTGGGACTGCATTAGAGTGGAGTCCAGCAAGGAAAAGATGGCAGTAACAGAAAAGATCAGGCCAAGATGAGATTTTTAGCTATAGATATTGAAAGGAAAACCATTATTTTTGAGTTGGTGTTAGATTGTATATCTAATTTTCCATGTTTAGACACACACACACACACACACACACACACACACACACATGTAATAGCAAAGATCTATAGGACAGCTTATGCAAATACAAGGTAATGCTGACTGGATAAAACCATGTACAATGTTAAATCTTTTCCTGTGAAAATTAAGTTCTTCACCATATCACAAACTCATGCTGAAAGTTCCCTTAGTTTCAACAATGGTTTACCATAGTGTATGTTTAGCTTTTGTTTGAACATTTGGATTTTGTAGAACGAGTTTCATAATTGTTAGGAGCAAATGGTCAATATGATAGAAAGAGAAGATATAATTATTAATATCTGTAACTGTTCATAATGGTGTAACAACGTACTGTGCCTTGTGGTAGTATTCAATCCTGTTTGATTTCTTGTGTTAAAACCGGGAACTTAAATAGATTACATTGGTATTCTTACCATTTAATGTTTACAAGATGCTCAATACTGAAGATGCAAAGCATTTTTATTGTGGCACAAAAGTAAACAGCAACAAACTGGCACTTGTTGGATACATAAGTATTCATCCCTGAGTCAGTACTTGCTAGAAGCATCTTTGGCAACAGTTTCAGATGTGAGTCTTCTTGGGTAAGTCTGGATCCTGCAATATTTGCCCATTTTTTTTTTTCTGGCAAACTGCTCCAGCTCTGCCAGGTTGGATGGGGATAGCTAATGAACAGTAGCTTTTAAGACTTGCCACAAATCTGGGCTTTGATTGAGCAAACCTAAGACATTTGGGTCTTGGTCATAAACCACCCCAAAGTTACTTGTGTTTAGGGGCATTATCCTCCTGGAAGTTGTATCTCCATCCTAGACGCAGCTGCCTTGCAGTCTAAAACAAGTTTTCCTCTGGAATTGCCCTTCATTTGACTCCATCTATCTTGCCTTCCATCCTGACCATCCCCTGCTGTCCTCTGCTGAGGAAAATTATCCTCACAACATGTAGCTGCTACCACCATGCTTCACTGTGGTGAATAAACATTGTTGGTATTGTATCACACAGTATTTTGCAGCAAGGTCAGGTAGTTTACGTTTGGTTTCATCAAACCAGAAAACCTTTCACGTGTGTCTCCTGTATGTGTTTGCGCAAACTCCAAATGGGCTTTAATAGAGGTTTGTTCTAGCAAAGGCTTTCTTTTTTCCATGCTTCCATAAGCCCAGCTCTGTGGAATATCTGGCTGATAACGTTGTTGCATGAACAATTTCTCCCATCTTCACTACCGATCTCCTGTTCCCTCAGAGCTACCTTTGGCTTCTTGGATCATTCTCTGCCTAAGGCCTTGCTTCCCTGATCTTCCCTGAGCTTTGGTGGATTCCCATTTTTAGGCAAAGTGTCAGCTATGCTATTTTTCCATTTTGTAAGAATGGATTTAGGAGTAGTCTGGAGGATATTCATAGTCTGAGCTTGGTTTTTTTTTTTTTTTTTTTAAATAACCCAACCCTGACTGGTGTTCCTGTAGACTATCCTGGAGTCCTTTTGATAGGCAAGGGGTTGTAGCCATTTATTTAGGCATGTCAGAAGAAAGGGGGTGAATACATATGCAATCAAATGTGCCAGTTCGTTTTTGCTTGCTTAACTTTTGTTTCCCAATAAATATATTTTGCACCTTCCCAGTGCTGAGTATCTTGTGTTCATCAAATGGTAACAATGCCAATGAAATCCATTTTAATTCTAGGTAGTAACACAACAAAATGTGGATAAGTCAAATGGGTGGTAGCAAATATTTGTAATTTCTTGTGGGTATAGATATAATATCAAAATTACAAGTAATAATTGTCAAAGTTTGCCCCAAACTTAGAAGTTCCTTAAGCATGCCGTCTGCGCTGGCCAGTGGTGTCATGATAAAGCTGTAATTTAAAGAAGAACAAAACATAGACGGCGCCCATGGAACTCCAGAGATAACAGAAGAACAAGCTTACCATGTTGGAGAAAGAGAACACGTGGCTGAATCGGCAAGATATTTTAGCTTGCATGAAATAAAATAGAAATATAAATATGAATAGTGCTTCCTCATAGCTAATCATGGTGTTGGCATTATATATTGCCTAATTACTCTTTAAACTGGTGAGTTAGAACATCAACTTCAATCCTTTGTATTTAATGTGAAGGTAGATTGACTTTACCCAAATTTATTTTATTTTCATAGGTCTCTTTATAGAATGCCATGTTGATATGGAATGCCACCAAATTAATCGTTAATTCAGTTTTATCAGGATAATTTAAATAAACTGGAATTTTCCCGTGTGATTGATAGAATGTGATCAGTGTTAGCTGCAGTATCAACCTGCTTTTGACATTTAAACATATAAAGCTGACTGGATATAACTATTCAGGTGCTAAATATATTTTACATCTACTTCTAACACTAGAAATGGAAGTATTAAGAGATCTGGCTTCATTGTCATTGAACTGTGAAATATTCAACCTTGTCTGCCCGTGCTTAGTACTGTTGACTTTTTTATTTCTGTTAGAAGATTAAAATTAAATGCTTCATTTTTCGTCAGCTTTTGGGAATTAAATTGAAATTTAAGGCTCTAAATTTTTTTTAACTGAGATTCTCAATTTAAACAAAGTCTTCTTTGAGGATATTCTCTGCTCAAGGGCACAGCAGAAAGGTTCATTGATCAAGTATGATGTAGTGTAACATTTTTCTTATCCAAGCTCTTTTATGTATATTTATTAAAGCTCCCATATTTCATATTATGCTTAACTATATTGGAAGAAATTCTTCACAAAACATATACCAAACATAATATGAAGTATCTGCAAGCATATTGCACTTACCCTTAACTGCAGTTGTGGGATTTATGGATATAGGGATCTGGTCTTATAAAAGTTGGAAAGGGTCATAGCATACTTTAAAAGGATGTGTTACTGCTTTGTACTGACACCTGCCAGGTTCAGTGACTGCATTTTTGGGATAATATAATCATTGCAGTCTGGCTGGAAAGTCATCTTTAGTTAGAAGGTGCAGTTTTACTTTTTTCCTTGGCCTCATGGTGTTGCAAACGAACATGTCAGTTGTGTTTTTCTGTGTGTGTGGGAATCCTATAATTCTTAGGTCTGTTCTAGGCAGTTACAGTTTGTTCTTCAAATAAATAATAGCCAAAATGTCAATACTTCTGGTTTTCAGAATAATCATAAATTCCCAACCATAAAACAGTCATAAAGGTGTAATATTTTATTCACTGTATATTCATACAGTGCATGTCACTGCAGGAGAAAGGCAATGAATCATTTTTTTCTGTATGGTCTCTCCCCTGCCACCCCCCTCATGAGGAGAGAGACAGACCTGAAATATCAGTGTTAAGGTTTAAAACGATTCCTTATCTGACAGAGGAACAGTGCTGAAAGGTAACGGCTGAAATAGATTCCTTACACTTAAAAAAAAGTGCAATTCTGCCGTTTGTTTTAAACACGCACAGTCCTTTGGTATGGTATGTAGCTATAAACAGTCTCTTTTTCAGGGACATATCTGGTGCTGTATTAAAAAAAACTACAGCAAGACGACCATGCCTAATAACATCATGTGCTTCTTGGAAAACTCCAAGTATGGTGGGAAACCAGAATGACCCTTGATCCTTTTGAAAGTAGTTACAACACCACTTCCCTAGCTAGAGTTGATGCGTAGAAGTGGCTTCTACGCATCAACAATATGTAGCCTTCACATATATATGACTTCCACAGATATTGGTTCAGGAGAAACTTCTGTAGCATTGAAATTAACTAGAACATGCATTTGCTGGCTTATATTCCAAGTCCTGCCAAGTTTATAGTGGACAAAGGCTATGGAACAAGTTTTGTGGCCTCATTTTTAAAGTTTCCAAAGTGTCTCATCGTCTAATTATCAATACTGTTTCCATAATAAGTGACTGCTCATTAATGAAACGCCATTCTCGCTTAACTTTTGTGTTTGAACTTCGGGAAAGTATCTTTAATGAGAAATATGTGGCACATACCCTAACAGCATCCCTGGAGTTATAAATGTATGCAATAGAAAAATTTCACTTTCAGGCTAGGCAAGATTCTTTAAGCAGGTTAAATACTGGATAGTAGTTTCCACACCCACTCCCCCCACCCCTTTTAAAAGGCTATCCTCCCCCCCTGCAAATTGTGATTTCTTTATCCAAGGGTAATATAATATTCTAATTCAACTCTTATCTTTATGCTAAATTTTACTTAGGATCAAAGCCATTCAAGTGCAAGATTTGCCACTTTGCAACAGCTCAGCTAGGAGATGCCAGAAACCATGTCAAGAGGCACCTTGGGATGAGGGAATACAAGTGTCATGTCTGTGGGTGAGTAAATTGAAACAGTTCCTCCCTTGGTTAACTGGAGAGGAGTGCAAGCTATGCATTGTTTCAGCATTCAAAGTGTGGATGTGAGCAAGAGAGGCTAAAATTATGCATGCATATCCTCCTTCCTATTGTTATGGTAAATTCCTTAAATACAGTTATGACATTCTTTTCCTACTTCTAATCCAGTACCGCAGATGAGCAATTTTATGGGCTACAAGGTCAATTTGAACCTGTAATCTGTAAATTGACTAAATTATAGGATGTTCATTCACATTGCCAAGGAGAACTGTAAATTCCCTTTTAAAGGTACAAAAAATAGACTTTAATTTGGTGTGTGTTTTGTGTATGTGTGCCCATACAATGTATTTGTGCTATATCTTGTTATAGTTCTAGCTCAGTGAACAGATTATGAGCTCCTGTAGGGGTTTTGTACTGTAGCAGGCACACAGGAGATAAAAATATTCAAAGGGTTTACATATTGTCACAGATAAGAAGTATATGTGAAAAACAAAAAACAAACACTGAACTGGAAACATCTTGTATATGCTGAAATGTTGCAGAAAAGCCTGTTTTCTTGTCTTTCGTAATGGCTATTTCATCAGATGGACCATTTGTAATGTTTAATTGTACTTCAAATGTGTTGCATTTAATAGGGAGGCTCTGAGACTCTTTAATGCAAAACTAATTAATTTAGTAGAAATGTTTAAAAGGTTTTAAAATGCCATGGCATATATGGTACATCATAGGACATTCAGAGGTAGGTTTTAGTACCACACTTCTATTAAAAGTATATTTTAATGTTATTGTGCTAAAAGAATTAGTGAATATATGCATCATATTAGAATGCTTTCCTCAAAACAGGATAAGTTGATGGAGGCCTGATGGCAAATGAATAGAATGGCCCAATGCACCCGGAAGAGTAAGGCAGGTGGTTCTGGGATGTTTTCAGCCAGATTTTTGTCTTGTTAACACTTGCAATTAAACCCCTTTACAAAGTGAGTGCAATGTTTGAAAGCAAAGTAGAATCATTTTTACTGATTCATGTGTCTCTTACCGAAATGGTGCTTTTATAATGGTAAGAGTGATGTTATTCCCTGCCGGAAAGGCAGTGCATTGTTGGTGACCAGATTACTTTAAAACACAATGCAAGTGATTGCGAAAGTTGCCCACTGTAAAATAATGGAGGACTATTATTTATACTTAGAGCAGTAAATACCACTGGTGAATGCAAAAGTCTGGCAGTTCTGCTGCATACAAGACTTTCTTGGTTTACCAGAACCTTTTGCCTGAAAAGTAATACATAAATATAGATTGCAAACTCTGTGAAAAGCAAAGCAAACTGTTCAGTCAGACGCTAGCACTAACATAAATTACATTGCACTAGGGTAAGTGATCTCTAGTACTAGGCCAATAGTGTTACCTAACGCAACGAGTTTTCATCAGAAAACCACTGAGCCAGCTATGCAAAGTAATTGTGAAATGTAATTTTACATTAGTGTTAATGTCCAATTAGATACTGTGCATAATTTGGACTTGGATTTGAGCAGTCAACATATCTTATGTGTGGGTAATGGTGGTAATACAGGATTGGCTTACTATCTTTAGTTCCATTGCAGTTACAATGGACTTGCGTATCAGTGAGGGGGCAGGGGAAAGTTTGCATATACCTTTGCAAAGACACTAGTTAATTAATTAAAAGTATATATTTATATTTGCTGCACACTTAAATGCATCACTTGTCAAAGCCTTTTTGAATGCCATATCAGAAAGTTCATCTCATTATTTTTGTGGGTTGATAAAGAATTTATTTTGTTATTATGACGGTCTGAGTGGCTCATAGTGCAACATGTAATGACAGAGAGATAAACAAAAATCTCCTTCATATAGACATTTAGCTATTTTTCAGTTAAAATAATTAAATTTAATCCAATATGGACCAAAGGTATTTGTATGTTAACAGTGGCTGAATCAACAAAGTCCTTAAAAACAATAAAGGCTTGCAAAGCTTGTGCACTTAAAACTGGCAATGAAATACGTCATAGGCCAACCTTCCTTAGTCTCTCTCTTTTCTGTGTTAGTGCGCATTTGTGTATAAATTGTGTATGTGTGAGAAAGAGAGAGAGAGTATAATACGTTGTGCTATATTTCTGCCATATTAACCAAAAGGAGAGGGTGGTATGCAGTTTTAAAAATAAAGTGGCAACATAAAATTGCTGGGATTGGCTATCGGATTAGTAGCAGTATAGAGCATTGGTACATTAACACCACTGACAATGTCAATTCATTATCATTGATAGCTAAATAATCTTAGAAATGCTCAGTGGACCTATTAGTTCCTGAACATAAGCAGCTCATGCTGCATTTCTTCATTAGCTTTAATTGCTATAAATTTACCTTTTTAAAAAATCATGTTTTAAAAGGTGAAGTGATCTTTCAGCAACATTAACTTGGTAATTTTGTCACAAACAGAATGTCCTGTATGATGTTTTCTTTTCTTCCGTAGTTTCAACTGTATGCTATGACTTTTAGATTATAAATGACAAGTTTTGTATTTGGCAGAATGTTAAATTGTTTTCCAGTTGCTACACAACTTGGCCGGACATTTTTTAAAGGGTGAAATGTCAGTGATTATGGATTTAAGATTTCACTTGATTGCCTTGAAATACAATTTCGTTATGAATTGGAAAGTGCAAAACCTTTGTAAAATAATGGCAATCTAAGTGCTAAAAATGAGGAGAAGATTTTATGTACTGTATCATGTAGCACGGTCAACAGAGAGGGAGGAAAAAGACAGCAGTGTTTTTGCATGTTGCTTTTATTGTTTCAAATCTAAGTTTAATTTTTTCCAGCTGCACAGTAGAAATACTCTGCTATTGAAATTGGAAGCTACTAATCTTTCAGCATTTGAAATAAACCGTCTGCTACTCATTTCCTTATCGGCAGATGTGTGGTGATTGTTTTCCTTTGCGTTATGTTCATGAATGGGAAATGCATCCCTTATTTGAGAAGGGATCTGTTTTCAGTGAGTACCCAACTGCTACCTATTTAAATTTAATTTTCAGAAGTCTGGCTATGAAGTTGTTCATGACACTAAGATTAGCAAATCGAACCTGCTTCCCAGCATTTAGTTGTCTTTTTAAAACTTGTGCCGATGGAATGCACTAAAAAGGCTTATCGTGCACTTTTTAGATTTTATGCCTCAGGTACATGAAAAATGAATTGTTTAGCACTCCAGATTTTAAACAGAATTTATGGGCAAGTTATGATTTAAAAAGGCATCCACTCTTGCCTTGCACTTGCTTTGGACGAAGAGCTTACAAAAATAACTCAACAACTTGCATTATTACCTTCCATTCTATTTCTTTTCTTAACTTGGCATGCATAAACAAATACATAATTTGAAGGGGAAGTCAAGGGTGAGGAAGGTTTCATGTGTCCAGAAATGTAAATAAAATTGAAATCAGCCTATGCTCTCTTTTTATTGTTCTTTTTTATGCATTCTTGCAAAAACTTTAAAACTATCTATTAAAATAGAACCACCATTCAGGTTTCAAAACATAATTTATTGTACGCAGGATTACTTCTGGAAAAGCATGCATGTAGTTCGTTCCCTCTTTCTCCCCCCACGCCCCTGGTGTGTGTGTGTGTGTGTGTGTGTGTGTGTGTGTGTGTGTGTGTGAGAGAGAGAGAGAGAGAG